GTGGGATTCTCGCGTTTAAGCTCTTTAGTATTTTTCATCGAAGTAAAAATACCGGTATCAAAATACCTGCGGGTGGAATTCTTGTGCTCTTTGGGAATAGCGTGTATGTAGTGATTTATGCCTTTTTCTCTTCCAAAATCACCCGAGTTGGCTTCCTGTCGTAGCTTCGTCACCCAAGATCCTTCGCGCTGTGCTAGGCGCAGCCACGTGTTCCACACGTCTTTCAACTGGATCAACTGGTCATCAGGAATGTCCATAAATTCCTCAGTGAGTGTACGCAGCTCAGTACAATCCACAAGCTCTTGTAAGGCTAACAACAGCGAAGTGAAATCTTGTTCACTGATACGAAGCGAGTACCAGATATGAATCACTGCTGAAGCCATATCATCTCCTCCTGCGATCAGAGAACAAGAGTTTTTAACCTGAGGCTTTTTAAGTCAAACGGTGGTCTTCCCTAATCTATCGTCTGTCACGATTGCCTTGAGTGGATGCAACGCAATCAAATCGAAAGTGGACAAAAGAGTTCAATTTAACGCGGACGAAATGGAGAAGTCTCAGTTTGCCCCTTGACTGAGTAAGAAGGTTGAGTGAAAATTCTGTAGAACGATCACAAAGTCCAGAAAAGAAAAGCCAATAAAATATGTAACTACCCTCGACATAGCATTCAAAACTTAACCAATTACTTGATAGTTCGTTCGGCATTTATTACAACCGCAACAGAACATATAGCAAGCGTAATAAATTCGACTGCAAGAGCAAACGCTAAAACATAACACAAATTTGAATAGAAAAAACAAGTAAAAGATTTTAATATTGAAATCAATCCAAATAACTTTGACCTCAAGGGTTAACCAAACGAAAAATGATTTAACGATTTCATTTGCATTTCACGAGATTGGTTTTAAAAATGCATGACGAAGAGTTTGTATTCTGACAACATGGAAAGGGCTATTAGTCAATGCAAATCGATAGAGAGAGTCATACCTTTATAGAGCATGTAAAGAAGCAGTACTGTTCTAGCCAAAGTACAGGGACATATGTCGTTCATCACAAACATAACTTGCTTTTGGTAAACATCAGGCAAAGACGCAATGGTCAGCAGAACATTTCTGGGATCGCCGACTCCACACAATAACAAAGCGAGCGGGTTGGAATATTCCTCTCCTTCATTCATTGACAAGTTGATCATGTCCACGGCCGGCTGATTGCCCCAGTAATACGTGGCTGCGAGACCAGGAGTCTTCTCTTTCAACTCACTAAACGTTTTCAATTTTTCAACCAGTTTCAAAACTCTTTCGACAGTAGTTTGACACGAAGGTCTGTGTCGAGGCCAGTGGCTTCGTTGACATTCGACACTGCAGTAGACGGCTTCCAAGCAGTTTACACACTTCTTCATTCCCTCATGTACAACGCCACAAGCTAAACATTTCATTTTCAACGCTGCATCGTCGCAATCAGGTTCATGTCGCCACTTGTCCTGTTTCTGACATTCCTTAGAGCAATAAAATGCCACTCTACAACGTGAACATTGTTGGGTGCAGTGCGCCTCACACCGCCAGCAGTGACTAGCTTTGTTCATTTCTAATGTTCAGTAGATGTACGCTTAACAGTTCACAAAATAAACTTGCAGCGAAATCAGAGAGGCTTAACCCCACACAACCGACTAAGACTGTAAGAAGCTCAGAATCGTTTCGTCACCATAGGAAACTTACTGGCTTATAGTTACAGCTTAATGTATTCGTCTTTTTTCGAGAATTTTCACAATGCTCCCACCATCACATACTATTGGCCAATATCAACCCGTTAATGTATTCCTTTTTCCGAGAAACTCCGGAATATATCTGCGGTTACACGGTCACTAGTTGATATTCCTTAAATTCGATTTCACGAGAATTTTCGCAATAAGTCGTTGTTGTTCTAGCGTGACGTCAATTGAAATATGCTCTTCTCGAGGCCGATCCAAATAACTCAGAACGTTTAGAACACACTGTTTAAAATCAGAAAATATTAGGTTGTGTGGAATTGGCACAAGTATCCATTTTGGCCAATTTTTCAACCCGGAAGCCATCCAGTCTGGTTCAAATTGTCAACATCACGATTTGCATAATCAAGTAATTAGCGCAATTATCAAAACATAAAACGATTGAGACGGCTTTTAATTTTAAAGTTGATGCCTCGGTTGCTTGAGTCTCTCAGGTTACGAAAGTCGATCTGTGGGCAGTGAAGACGAAATACAGAGAGCATTTTTTTATGCGTCCATGTCTGCACAAAATGTAGCGAAAAGATTGATTCTAAAGAAAAGATTGCACCTCACATATATTTATGGGACATACGTGAGAACTTTCGAACAGGAGGAAAAAAAGTGTAGAGGGAGTTCAAGTACCTGAAACTGCCTTTCCCGAAGTTTAAACGTGGACGGCAAATGGCGAACGTGACCGCTAGAGTCTGGTTACGTGACTCCTGAGCATTTGCGGTCACGCGTATTCAAAAGCAAACGTGGATCCAAAACTCCCTAATAATGGGAATAAAACTGGAAATTTAAGTCGCTAATTTTGATAAGATGATGGAATTGGGATTGGAACTTTAACTCACTCGAACACCGAGCTTGAGAAACGATTAATTAAAATCATCTCCCGTAACTAGAAGCATGACTGCGTGTACCCAGGTGACCCGTTACACTGAGAAGCACTTTCTTGCAATTGCTCTAAATGTTTTGCACTCGAAGTCGTGCGAGGTTGGAATCGAAAAATAGCTCATTACTCGTTTCAAGGCCATTAGGCCGTAAATGGCGAGTTAAGGTCTAACTTTATTTCAATCTGTAAATTTATCAGTCTATCTTCATAGTTGAGAAATTTCCTCATAACAAAATTATTTACACATCAGGATCACGATCAATGAAATCAACTTAAATTTTATAAAATATTTCTTCTCATTTCGATCTACTGTAGTAGCAAGGAACCCTGTGAGATAGCTGGTCTGACTTGCTTATGGAAATGAAGCACTCAAAGCTGATCCACAATGCTTATCGTCTACACATGAAAGATCTTTCACAACACTCTTGGTGTTTCCTCGGCATTTTATTTTTTTTAATTGCCACGGTTTGAGACATCTATTTGGAGAGTGTGAAAACGTATTGCAAAATAATAACGAATATGTTATTTGTTGGCGGCGTAGATTAGCCAAGACTGACGACGATTTCACCCCTTGTATGATCATTTCTTATAAACATTCTTAGTGCGAAATGCTAACATGTCGAAGGCAAGAGGTTCGATCAATCAATGACGACTTTACCGGGCTGATGGATAACAACTGCGTTTTGACGCTATTTGTACCATTAAAGTGGACCATTGTTGTAACTCATCTAAAGCTGAAAATGTTTATCGCTCTCTCACAGTAATGGAAACAACCATTTCGGCACCATCTGTTTCAGAGTGGGTGTAGAAACAAACTGCGGGACCTTCAGTTCATTACGGATTAAAAGTAAACAATGTATGAAGCCAACGGTTGATCATGTCCAAAACAATTAAAGTAGAATCGTTCACTACAACTTGTCCGAATTCAAACACCTTGCAGTACCACTTCGTTAAGAAGTTCAGTTAATTTTAGGGTTCCCTTCTCAGCTCCACCTGTTTGAACCTTTTCAAGCGATTGAAATTTGGATTATTTGTTTCACCGGATAGCAATATGTTGTGTTATCTTAGCTTTGATTAGTAAAGCAACTCACTTGAGAGTTAAAGCAATTATTTTAGGTTAGACAAAGTTGGAAAACACACGGAGAGTTACTCACTGTCATTTTACACAAACAGCTGCACTAAAAAAGGATACATTATCTCCCAGATACAACGGTATCAATTGTGAACAATATGGCCCAATTTCATCATCATGAGCTTGACAGTTTGAGATATTGCCCATCTCTATACAGAATTGCTGCACCTTCCCGTGATTGTCCCATACAATAAACAATTAAACTCAATATCCTGAGAGACTGCCATAAACATGAACTGAAATTACCTGTCCAGGACTGTTCGGAACAGAACACAAAAATGTGAAGTCATATAAAGCGATGAAGCTCGCGGAGAAAAACCTAAAAGGTAAGACTTCTAAGTCTTCCTGTATAAGGAGTGAATAACTCAGCTCATCTTTCAAAGTGTAGAATAAATGTCCAAAAGCGATGTTAAGCTTGCTCTGAGAGAGACATGACGTATTTAGAAAGATAACAAATATGGCATCATCTGTGATAGTTGTTCTATGACGTACACAGAGTTCATTTGCCATAAAACCACTGAAATAGCAGATAACTTTACGGCTTCTTTCGTTTTAATTTTCTGTAACTCACATGGGTTGGTCTCAGTTGACTGCATGAAGGGAATACGAGACTTTCATGTCAAAACCATTGAAGAAACACCAAGAAAGTGCAAAACGAAAATCGTTATTTCTGTGTTGTTCAAGTCATTCCAAAAAGACCTAAAGATCAAAAATAAATGAATGAATAAAAAAATATAGGGGGAAACTGCCGTTAGCCGTCAATTCGAATTAAAATCAAAGTGTTTTAAAACTCGATGAAATAAGTAGGAAAGTTAGAAGGCAAAATAATCATTTTAACTTTCTCTGTATTAGTTGACTGTGATACTGCGGTTCATTATCAAGCATGGCTGTCTCTTCACCAAGGATCAAGAATCGTCTGTCGCCAACCATTCTGGCAAACGACTCATCTTCTTCCTCAAGATCGCCCCCTATGAAATCATTTCCAAAAATTATCACTAACGTTGGAAGGTTCCGAGTACTGATCAGGGGTCCAACCCCTCAGGTTTGTTTTCTCGTGGGGACTCGGAAAAGTTATTTGTGCCACGCTCGTGAAAAGACAGAAAAAAAACATTTCTATATTGCAAAGTTATGAACAAACCAGTTCAGGGATGAATCACATATAACTTTAAAATTCTCTGTGAAGAAAAAAAAACTTGCTTTGTTTTGGATGTAAAGAAAACTGTGCCCTCAATGCAGACCTCCTTCTCGTGAATAACATTTTTATTTTTCCTTAAACCTAATAGAATGCCCGAAAAATTTAGGTATGTAGTTAAAGCAAGACTCTCCATAGAGTGAACAATTTTCTAAAGAGCTTTAAATAGTATAGAAAACAGAACTAATAAAAATTAAAGATAGAAGCTTCACCGAACAGAGTGCGTGCAAAAAAATATCGCATGTACACTTCTTAGTAAACACCATTATCAAATAGTTCGACAGCAAAGAAACTCAAGCTGAATGCCTAGCACAACAATTTTTTCGTCCAAAAAAAGTCAGATGATCGAACTACTCCACTTTACTTCTGATCGGTCGTGGAAACAAGATTACAATAGACAGACTGAAAGAATTTTTACATGTAATTCATATTTTGTTGTTCTCCTTCACTTAATGTCTATTTTTGTCCACAGGAAAAAAGTTTGCTATGAAGAGTATACCTCTGCTACCTGTCACATCGCTCCTACTTACCTGGTTGATTACGTGAACTGATAATTATGGGGTCTTAGCCATACAAGGTTAGCTTATTTTTCCATCATATTCATTTACAATAAATGACTGTTGAGTCATCTCGTCAATACGGGTAACATAATACCGGGTATTTCTTAACCAAGAGCATTTCTGATAAATTTAGAGAACATTAACAGTCTTAAGCGCTTAGCAACACATCAAGGCAAGAACATTTGCATGGTGGTCAAGTTAACGTTGGTTCATCTCGGCGCGAAAATAAAGAGTGTTAAGCAAGAGGACCAACGACCAGTAAACAAAACCGTGGCACTTGAGGCTCTCATCTCTGGACGTATTTTTCTCCGTTCTCTCCAACTCGTTGGTGCAGCCGCTGGCCTTTTCCTTGCAGAAACATGTGAAAGACTTTTCAACTATGGCGTCGTGTTATGAGCGAAAATTTTGGTCACTGAACCCACGGTAGAGAATCAAAGAAAATGCAACAATGGATATCCAAATTTAACGTGTAAAAATTAACAGTCGAGTTGGATTTCCTTTCTCATTTAGAGTCAAGCTTGAATAGAGACCTCAAAAAAGGCTTCCCCACGTTTTCAAATTGTTACAAGCCAGTTGATGGCTTCTTAGCGAAGTTCTAGCCGCCTTATAAAGCCAATTCTTGACGTTAAGTAATGCCTGAGCATCCCTCTAAACGCGAAGCTCTATTTCGCCCGAATGACGTAAGGTTGTCTCTGCATAAGTTTTACACGTTTTGTTTTTTGTCAAATGGTACAAAATCCATCCGTTGAACTATCTATCTTTGGTAAGCCACGAGTAGCTTTCAAGGCCCAAGGTTTTCAACCCAAAATGCTGGATAAAATTTCAATGTTATAGGGGAGAAGTATTTGAATTGTCACTTTGCTAAGCCTTCTATACTTCGCTTACCACAGGTCCTACACATACAACAGCTACTACAGGTCCTACAAATACAGTAGCTGATACAGGTCCTTCAACAGTTACTACAGGTCCTACAAATTCAACAGCTTCTACAGGTCCTACAGATACAACAGCTAATACAGGTCCTACAGATACAACAGTTACCACATGTCCTACAGATATACAACAGCTTCTGCAGCTCCTACAGATATAACAGCTACTACAGGTCCTACATACAGAAACAACAGCTACTACAGTTCCCACATGCAGATACAACAGCTAATACAGGTCCTACAGATGCCACAGCTA